CGTCCGTACCTTCCATATCATGACCCAAACATCCACCTACTGACGATGGGGAAACAGAACTTGGGCCGTCTGTACCTCGGCGTATCACGTAGCCATTAAGAGGAACAACGCTCTGAGGCAAGCTACAATGTGGACGTTACAGGATTCCATTTATAGTCAAGGTCCACAACGGGGCCGCCCACAGGGACAGATGGAGACAAGTGGGTGCCAGAGGCTGGAGGCTGGGAGAATGGGAAGTGACTGTTGATGGATACGGCGCTTATTTTGGGGCTAAAAAATATATTCTAGAATTAGAAGTGATGACTCCAAAACCTTGTGAATATACTAAAAATCACTGAGATGTAGGCTTTAAAACGGTCAATTTTAGGGTATAAATTAGATCTCAACTTGGAAAACAAAAAGACCAACCTAAGCTCTCTCTCTTCCCACCATTCTGCCATCTGAATCCTAGCACTCCATATTAGAGGTAAAAGCAATTTTTGTGAAAAACATTATTTTCAATGTTTCAGATACGGTAATGAGTCTTCCTAACAGGAAAACCTTTGTTCAGTAAACAAGTCGACATTGAGTTGCTAGAAAAAATCAACAACACACACAAAGAAGCAGAAAAAACTTGAGTTCTTCCTAGGAAGTAAACAAAACCCACGCTTCACCACTGACCGCACAAAGCTGAGTGTGTCTGGGTTCTTTCTTTTCTCCACGCTGCAGTAACTGACAGTCACTGGTCACATATGGAGACAGGATGAAGGGCACACACAGGCTCTGCAGGGAAGAGGCCTCTGAAAGGCACACTGGGCGGGCGGAGCCGGGAGGGAGGACACGTCAGAGCCTGCAGGAAGAGAAGCCCCCGCTGGGAATCCAGGTGGGACGAACAGGTTCACATCCTTCCAGATCTTGGTGGAAGGAGGCAGTGCCTCCTATGCCACAGGCCCCGTGGAAGCTGAGTCCTCTAGCCCAGAGAGCCGCCTCTGAGAGCCCGCGGCCAGACACTGATCTGAGACACGTGGAAGACAGCAGGCCAATGCCAGTGTCAGTAACAAAAGCATCCAGAGCTGATGAAATAAGCGAAACTGCCTACAAGCGACCCTGTCCATATGCATCAATGGGGAAAGATTTCTGCCATGTAAGGGAAGAAGGGAGTTGTAAAATCACACAACGTGCACAGAACAATCCCAAAAGGGTTAGAGATCTCAAACTGGTGGAATTATTTTCCTTTTCTTCGTTTTTATACCATCTCACTCTATTGCCCAGGCTGGAGTACAGTGGTGCGATCTCAGCTCACTGCAACCTCTGCCCCGCTGGGTTTAAGTGATTCTCCTGCCTCAGCCTCTCAAGGTTACAGGCACCCACCACCACGCCCAGCTAATTTTTGTAGTTTTAGTACAGACGGGGTTTCACCATCTTGGTCAGGCTGATATTGAGCTCCCGACCTCATGATCCACCCGCCTCAGCCTCCCAAAGTGCTAGGATTACAGGCGTGAGCCACCAAGCCCGGCCTATACTGTATCATTTTTTTAAAAAACAACAAACAGGTATTAATTTCTAAAAAAGCAAAACAACAAAAACATTCCTACTGCTGCTCTGGCCACGGACAGAAGACGCGTGGGACGCACCTTCCGAGTTGAGGGTGATGAGGGTGACGTTGCTCCCGATGCTCTGGCTGCCGGCCTGTCCGCAGCTGGACACAGAGTCGCTGGCCTCCGAGCCACTCTCCCCGTCTTCGTGGTGGCTGTCTTCTTGGCCCGGCACCTTCACCACAATGGTGTTCTGCCGACGCCCAGGCACAGCACTGAACGGGAAAAAACACACCAGCCCAATGCGGTGAGAGCCACAACCAGCACGCCAAGTTCCGCGCTTTCCTTAACTTATCACAAAATCTAACTCTGCGTGGACCAGTGGATCACACGGCCTTCCCAGACAGCGCTCTCTACCAAGATTAACAGCAACTCCATAGGAGAAAATGGCCTGGGGCTGAAAGAAACTGTATAAAGTAAAACGTAATCATTTAAAGAAAACATGTATATCACAAAAGAAGTAAAATCATGACTCACTGAGACTCAGGCCCAGCATGCTGCCCTCTGATTTCAGAGGTCATCCTACAGAATGCTGGCACTTGAAGGAGAGTCTTTTTTAAGGCCATGTTAAAGGAAAGACTAAATTCGGAAGACCGTGCTCAGAGACCTGGGTCAGCTGGACCCACGCTGCGAGGCTCCCTGGAAATGACTCCGCCTCTGTAACGCAAGCATCACTCCCAAGTATTGCCATGGGCAAGAAACCCTGAAGGGGGCTTCAAAAACCGGCTGAGATCCCACGGGAGCTGCCGTCATCCCAAGAGCTGCTGATGTGGAATGACGGAACACTGCCAGCCAAGCTGGGCAAGGCCAGCTCCACAACGTGCTCAAAAAAAGGATGACGTAGAGACTTGCTACTTCCCTTTTCAACATCCTCTACCAGGGACTGCTACGCACCAGGAGAGGAAAAAGGAGCACAATTTTTCTGTTCCCAAAGTCAAAAAAAAGGGTGTTGCAAACACTGTCTGTACCCAGAGGAGGGCGCTGCACTTTGCACTCTCTGGACTGGATTCTCTGGAGCGCTGTCCACGCTGAACTTGATCCTCAACATTGGGCACCTGCCCGGCTGACCTCAGCGCCAAGCCCCGGAGGCACAGCTGACCCTGGCAGCTCCTCACCGCCCACTGCCACCTCCTCTCCGCCCATCGCCACCTCCTCTCCCTTCGCCCCACGTATCAGGCCCTCGTGACCACAGCTGCAGCCCTGGAGAACTGAGCTAAGACAACAAGGAAAAGGGACGAAGCTAGAGGAGGAGCAATCCACAAAGGAGACTCAGAGAAAAAGCAAAAGAGAACTTTGTGAAGACACAGATGGGAAACAAAAAGTGCCGGCACCCTTGGGGGTTCGTGCAGCCCAGGAGGCCTTCCTGGAGAGCAGGGCCCAGATGCAGCCAGAGGCCACCGCCTGGCCCTCCCCTCGCACAGGGCGGGGACGGTGTCTTTCATCCACTCCCACCTCTGGCCAAAGCTCTACTCAAAACGTCTCAAGAGAAAAAAGGATAGGAAAAAAGTCATAAACTCAGCATGCCTGCACCACTTAGCAAGCGTGGGAGAGGGCGTCTGTTTGCCTGACACACTTCTGCACAGACAGACAGACATGAGTGCCACTGAGCTAGGTGGGAGGATGAGCGCCTTCACCGACTGCTGTGAGGAGACAGAGCCAGCCCCTTCACAACCCGGCCAGCACGGGACACAGACATCCCCGGCGGCAGCTGCCCCAGTGTGGCTGGATTGTCAGCACTCAGCTTCACCCAGCCTGCCCCCCCCAACCTCAGAGAGCTGGGGCAGTGCCTGCCAGGCTCAACCCTGTGACCACAGAGATGAAGCATGTGCCGGACGGTGCCCGGCTTGGGGACGTTGACTTATTCTCACGGGACTCCTCACAGTGACAGGGAAAGGTAGGGTTGGTGCCGTGCTACTGACTTGCTAATGACATTTTCCAGGGAATCCGGTGCCCTGTTGCTCAAGGGGTCTTCCATCTTGGCTACAATGGCGTTCTGCCGATCATTGTTGAGTATTACTGTAGTCTGGGGGACGACGCTAGGGAACAAAAGAATCACAAAGAAAAAGAAGGCCTTAAAACAACAACATTCATGTAAGAGCACATAAGAGTCATTCAACACAGTCCGCTCCCAGGTGCCCGCACTGCGGGGAGGAGCCCCCAACGCTAAGGAAGAATAAACTGGAGATGGAGTTTTTAACAGAGTTTAACTTTCCTAATTGTTGGTGTTTTGTCTGCACAACTGGATAGCGCAGGACAGCTGGGCTGACACTGAATGTGTGATTCGGATTAGACTGAGACAGCACGGGTTGTTATCATGCCCGGTTAATAAAGCTTCTGAGGTGGCACACTTGCATGGAAACCGGCTTGACGTCTTTAGTCACTCCATCCCAGCTCAGTTCCTGTGCGACAGATCTAACTTTCGTAACCATGTGAGTGTTGGTATCATTCCAAACTGGTGGCACCCTGGGAAGAAAGGGCCAAACATCACACTGGACTTGGGATGGAAGGACACATACATGCTACCTCTAGGTTCTACAGGAACAGGTATGAGTTACAACCAAAGGGCTCAGGGTTCTGCTTCCAAGGAAAAGATTCTACAAAAGAACAGGCTATGACCCAGAAACCACTAAACCTGGCGCCGCGCTGGAGGAAGCGCTAGTGTGTTTAGACAGGCGTCAGTCACGCAGCTTCACCTCAAAGGACAGACTCGCTTATGGTTTCCCATCATGAGTTTTCGAGGCTTAGAACTTTCAGTCAAGGGATTTCTACGGTACGCTCTGTGTGGAAGGGTGGCGCGGGGAAAGAACTAGCACTAGGAATACAGAGTGGTTATCACCAAAGAATAAAACACCATTCCTGGATTTCACTCTCCAAAAACCAACCTGGAAAGGCTGCCTTTCTGTGATTTGCACCCAGGAAAATCCAGCCTGCCATCACGACTGTAAGTGTTCCCACAGCGAGTGGGGACAAGAACAGCACCATGCCACACCCACGGAAATCACAGGACCAGCAGGTATTCCTAAATAAAGGCATCATCAACTGCATTTCACTCAAAAGCATTACTTTTTAAACTCCTCTACTTGTTACTGGTGACACCTAAAGCAACACAGCAAAACCTGGTACATGTCCTACATTAAGAGGCTTCGTTCAAGCACATGCAAAACAAGCCACCAAGGTAAGACATGAAATGAAAAATCTTCCGGAAAAATGCAGGGTTTAAACTATTTTCACAAGTTTGTGTTTGCCATGTTTTATTACAAAAGGAAACAAAAACTAAGTTACTCTGAAGCAGAGCCTTGAAAAACTACACAATAGTCCGGTGCAGACGACCACACAGGGTGGAGGGAGGGAGAGGAGGGCAACACTCAGGACCAGAACGCAGTGGCACCAGGACGAGGGCCCAGCCAGCACTTCAGAGCAGCAGAACATCTGAGTCACACCGCCAGTGAGCAGAACCCGACAGCCCTCGCAGCAGAGGTCAGCATCTGAAGCCACCTCCAACAAACTGACCCAGGCAGCTGAGACACCGGGATGGGGAGTCTCGGTCTGCAGCTGTGGTTAGGTTCCATGAAAGCTGTCAAACGTGGAAAAGATGGTGCAGGAGAGCCACAGGAGCTGCAGTGGTGACTCCAGATACCGCTGTGGGTGCTTTCTGGACACACACCTCTGCCTGGGCACACACGATCACAGGATGAAGAACAGATGTGACTCCATTCTCTGCCTAACCCTCTACTCACAGAGAGGCGCCGAGAGACAATCCGAGGAGAAGCAAGCACTAACCCTCCAAAGACGAATTTAAGTAACTTTCAAATGAGGGCCGGGCACGGTGGCTCACGCCTCTAATCCCAGCAGTTTGTGAGGCTGAGGTGGGCAGATCCCGAGGTCATGAGATCGAGACCATCCTGGCAAACACGGTGAAAACCCGTCTCTACTAAAAATACAAAAATTAGATGCACGCAGGGGTGAACACCTGTAGTTCCAGCTACTTGGGAGGCTCAGGCAGGAGAATCCCCTGAATCCAGGAGGCCGAGACCACGCCACTGCACTGATAATAATAACTTTCAAATGTCCCAGACCAAACCCACTAAACGTGCACCTAACAAATCTGCACTGAATGCTCAGCAAGTGAGAAGGCCACCCTGGGCACTGCAGGACCCCCAGCCTCCAGGGACTCCCGTTCCAGGTCGCCACATGAACCAGGCCAGGCGTGCTGCTTTCCCTGGACGCCCCTCTTAGCCCAAGATCTTCACACAGTGCTGGGTTACCTGTGTGGTCAAGTCACCGACCAGTCCTATTCCCACTGCAATACCTGGCTGTTTCCTACAGCAGGGAGAGGATGAACGCCATCGGAGTATCTGACGTACGTTTGAACCAAACAAGCTTTCGCCTCCTTCCATCCAAAGTGCAGCCTCACCACTCTGCACCCCGGGTAGGCATCCCTTTTATAGCTGAAAATAATTATCAAGTCCAGTTTAGAAAATCTGACACTCATTTTCTAATTTTTATGAATTATCTCAAGGAAAAATATTTCAACAACAGCAAGCTCAAAAGTACTTCAAGTAATTTTTTCTGCTTTCTACTCTTTAGGAAAAAATGGACAGATTTTGTTTAAAACTCCAGTACCTGTTCCCTAAGTATGTTTTCTCCCATGGACATTCATGCTCCTACATAACACACAAGGACCCGGGCCTTGTAAGTAAGAAACAGGGTTAGTGTAACGTACTTACAAAAAGAGAAGCTGCTGGGTGGTCAGAGCTCCAGCAGGAGGAAAACAGAAGGGCAGGCAGGTGCAAAGAGCAGGCACCCAGAAGCCCCCAGGCCAGAGCAGCCCACAGCCCACTCCCCTGCCAATGGGGCTCTCCCAGGAGCCTCTGTCCATCCAGCCTGCATGTCCCAAGCCCTTCTGTGCACACATGGCCCTGTGGCCAGAGTCCATCAATGGACTTCCAACAGGAGAGAGGTGTGTCACTTCCCAGACACAGGTTTTAAAAACAGAACGCACCTTTCAGTCTCTCCCCTTCGCCGACTGAGGACCCCAAGGCAACACGAATAAGCACACAGTAAAAGGCTCAGGCATCAGAGGCACCCACAGGCAGCTGGGGAAAGACCAGAACAGCGCACACTGCACCCTGAACACAGCAAGATTCAACCTCCCACCACGCTAATCACAAGTCCACAGAGCCCGGTATTGCGATGATTCATGTCACTGAGTCAATACAATCAGCATGCAGACTAATCAAACATTTACTGAAAGTGTATTTCTATTGCTTACAGGTTAAAAGGGTATTTGATTTTATTGTTATAGGCGGGGTCTCACTATGTTGCCCGGGCTGGTCTCAAATTCTTGGTCTCAAGTGATCCTCCCACCTCAGTCTCCCAAGTTGCTGGGATTACAGGCCTAAGCCACTGCACCACACTGAAGATTAAAAAGTCATAAAAACAAGATCTAACAAAAAAACACTCAGGGATAAAAATAAATCAGTATTAAAATTTTCTTCCTAATATCTAATGAAATGAGCAAAATAGAATATAAAACCAGCCCCATAAATAACCACTGCTCCAGTGAAATGGGACTAACCTAACGCAGCAAACTTTAAAAACTCGTTGCTAAAGAAAGAAGCTTCTAGCCTGTGGCAATCAGCTTGAAGAGGCTCCAGATCTAACTCCTCAAGCTGCTCTCCCCAGGGAGCCATGCTTGTGCACGGACCGAGATCTGGGACCTCCCCCAACAATCTCAAATCAGAAGGGCAAGGAGGTCCAGAACATCTGTGTTTCTCCCTCTTTCCTAGAAGCTACAGAAACGACTACTAGGGAGAGAGGGAGGCAGCATGAGGAATGACTCCATGGAAGTCAACACCTGCAACAGCACAGGAAGACAGGGGCTCCCAGGCAACGTGTTCAGGTGAAAAGGTGCCCCGGGCCCTTTGCAGGCTCACAGGACACCGCGTACTGCCACGCATGGCATTCTGGTCTCTAAGGCCAGGGACCTCCGCACACTGCCTCCTGGTCTCTAACTCCAGGGCTCTTCGCACGATCGGAGGACACCGTGCACCGCCTCCTGGTCGCTAACGCCGGGGCTCTTCACACGCTCGGAGGACACGGCACACCACCGCGCACCACCTCCTGGTCGCGCTCGGGGGACACCGTGCACTGCCTCCTGGTGTCTAACGCCAGGGCTCTTTGCACGCTTGAAGGACACCTCACACCACCAAGCACGGCCTCTTGGTCTGTAACTCCAGGGCTCTTCCCAAGCTCAGAGGACACCGCGCACCACTGCATACTGCCTCCTGGTCTCTAATGCCAGGGCTCTTCCCACGCTCGGAGGACACCGCGCACCACCGCGCACCGCCTCCTGGTCTCTAACGCCAAGGCTCTTCCCATGCTCGGAGGACACCGCGCACCACTGCGCACCGCCTCCTGGTCTCTAACGCCAGGGCTCTTCCCACGCTCGGAGGATACCGCGCACCACAGCACACCACCTTCTGGTCTCTAACGCCAGGGCTCTTTCCAAGCTCGGAGGACACCGAGCACCACATCCTGGTCTCGGGGCACCACATCCTAGTCTCTGCCCACGGCATCCTCATCTCTAACCTCATTTTTCAATTCAAGAAGAAACGGCTGATTCTAGGCTGGGAAAGGCATGCACAATGAGCCTGGAGAAGCATTTGGTAACACCATGCAAGTAAAAGTGCTCAGGCCGAGCCCGGTGGCTCACATCTGTAATCCCAGCACTTTGGGAGGCCAAGACGGGCAGATTACAAGGTCAGGAGTTCGAGACCAGCCTGACCAACATGGGGAAACCCTGTCTCTAATAAAAATACAAAATTAGCCAGGTGTGGTGGCATGGCCTGTAATCCCAGCTACGTGGGAGGCTCAGACAGAAGTGCTTGAATCCAGGAGGCGGAGGTTGAAGTGAGAGGAGATCCCACCACTGCACTCCAGCCTGGGCAACAGAGCAAAACTCCATCTCAAAAGAAAAAAACAAAACAAAGCACTAACAAGAAAACACCTACAATGAAGAGGGAATGGAGGGAAT